ACCCTTAATTATTTATTTATGCCATATCTTACTCCTTCACATACCAGTCTGTTGTTCACTCCCCTTGAGTGAGTTATACAGTCTTCCGTGCTATCACACCCACACACACCCCTTTTCTTGTCCTCAGGAAGGTAATTCGGATGTTTGGGGTTGGAAGGGGATGAGAGGGTGGGCAGATTGATCACCTTGCTGCCATCAGCTGAGGATGTCCTTGGAAGCTGACTCAGCTCGGTATCCACAGCCAGGAGAAGACAAGAGCTCTGCTCTGGATCCCCCAGCCTGCTCACGGGGCTGCAGCCTACTCCAGATCTCTGCCCTGCGCCTGAATCTCGGGCCTGCTCTGGATCTCTAGCTAGCAGTCACATTCCTTCGATTTTCCAGTCTCCAGTTCCGCATTGTCTGCCCTCTTACGCCCATCAGCGCAAGCTCACTGGACCTTGCCTCCATACTTACTTATTTTGATGGAAAACTGACCCTGCTTGGTCCAGAGAGCCCAGTGGAGAGATCGCCCAGGCGCTTGGCCCACCAATGACTTTGAATTTTGTTCCACATTTTTTGCCTGCTCTTTCTAGGACCTCCTATTGTGATCCCTTTCAGAGCAGTCAGACATGTAGACATGATGTGGTGGCAGCCAGACATCATGTAGTTCTTTTGGTCTTGGGGTTCATGTGGTCCATTCCTAGTTGATTCTTAGTACGTGTGAGTCGGTTCAATAAAGTATTTGGTGAATGTGGGCAAGAAATAGACCCTCATTTAAAATTTTTTATTTTATTGTGTGTGAATGGATTTTTCTAATTGTCCACATCTCTGATCTCACTTTGGATTACCTCAGAGCCACGGATACTGTACGCAAGCTTATGACAGACGGGATGAACCTGCCTCTCCACTGTACTCTTCAGAAAGCGTCATTCTGTTCTTCAGGCCTTTAGTTTCTGAGCCAGTGTGCCTGACTTGATCTGCCCCAGTCCTTCTGCAGACTTCCTCACGCTGCTCTTCTCCCCGTCTCAGCAGTGCTGTTTCTTCACATGCCTAGCTCTTTGATGTGTGTGTGTGTCACTACCAAATGCTTTGTTCATACCTGTAACCAGTCTCCCACAAAGGCAAGGTACAGGGTGATGGTATACATTGTTACAGAACGTGTGGCTCTTTAAATTCACGATCTAGATTCTGACCTGAAACAACCTGTAAGTGTGGGGCAATGTAAAGAAAACAGGTTTTTGCTTGAGGTTGGATAAATTTTACTTTGCCGTAGCTTTGCACTGAAAGTTGGACTATAGGGTAGAGATGATAATGGCTCCCCTTGCCAGGTCCTGGCAAATGAACTATGCTGTGAACTAGAATTTGAATTTATTCTTCAGCTTTACTTTCTAGGTGCTGTAAAAATGTAGCAATTAATTTAACTAGTAAACATTAATGGAAGCCTGAATTGACTAAAGTTGTTCAGAAAGATTTGCATTTGCTGGGAAATGGAAGTGAATTAGATGGCTTTTGTCTTGTATTAATAGTTGCAGTGTAGGAGCCGGGGGAAAGATAGGACCCGTGCCTCTCCCCTCTGGTGGATTTGTGTGCAGAAGGGAATTGGTAGGTCAGAATTTCCTGGTGTGTCTGATTTTGGGCAGCATTTCAAGGGAGAAATGTGAAATTTGTCTGAGGAAGAGGTTGGAAAAGTCCCAGCTGGCGTATGGCCTTGGACATTCAGGGGCTATCTTAACCTTGTCTCAGCAAGGTGTGCATCTCATTTCTGTTTCTTATCCCTTGGGGACAAGACCTGGATGGGGGGCTTAGGAGCAGAAACGTTATTTCCTGAGAGGGCTTGATTTGGTGCTGGATGATGAGTGCTGTCACTAGTCCCCTACTGCGGTACCCTGCAACCTGCTATGATGAGGCACAGCCCATGGATGGTGGCGCTGTTGGGAGCACCTCTGCTCCTTGGACCAGCAACTGTCACCTGTGTGTCTGTCCAGTGCCTGTTCAATGGACCTATAGGAAATTTTTTGTATTTCCTTAGAAGATCCCTGGGAACAACAAGTAATCTAAAATTGATGGCGAGGAGGGTGCAGGAGGCCTGGTAGGGCTTGAACAAGGGCAATGTAACCGAGAGGAATTACTGAAACCCAGGCCAAACCTGATAGTGGGACAAGAGAAAAGTTAAAGAAAATAGAGGAAAGAATTAGGAGGCAAAGGGCATCTATAGAGGTCTAACTACAGGCATGTACATATGTAAATACTTTTATATGTGATGATGGGGAAATAGATCTATGTACATATATTTGTAGGTTTAGAATTAAAGTAGCAGATGTATGTTGGGCCTCCAATCAAGTACTCCCTCAATGCAAGAACACTTTGTTCTATTAAACTGGCATTCCATGATGCTCACCTTCCCAACACGATTGCTGAAGACAGAGTGGGTGCATAAGCAAATGTGGTGAAGAAAGCTGATGGTGCCCAGCTATCAAAAGATATAGCATCTGGGGTCTTAAAGGCTTGAAGATAGACAAGCAGCCATCTAGCTGAGAAGCAACAAAGCCCACATGGAAGAAGCACACCAGCCTGTGTGATCACGAGGTGTCAAAAGGATCAGGTATCAGGCATCAAAGAACAATCATTTTGTGAATGACGGGGAGTGTGAAGTGGGGACCCAATGCCCATCTGTAGGCAACTGGACATCCCCTTATAGAAGGGTCGTGGGTAGGAGATGAGCAGATCAGGGTGCAGTATAGCACCAATGAAACATACAACTTTCCTGTAGTTCTTTAATGCTTCTTCCCCCCACTATCATGACCCCAATTTTTTTTTATTTTTTACCCCAATTCTACCTTACAAATCTGGCTAGACCAAAGCATGTACATGGGTACAGATAAGAGCTGGAAACACAGGGAGTCTAGGACAGATAAACCCCTCAGGACCAATATTGAGAGTAGCCATACCAGGACGGTAAGGGTTAAGGGTAAGGTGGGGGGAGATAGAGGGAACCAATCACAATGATCTACCCATAACCCCCTCCCCAGGGGATGGATAACAGAAAAGGGGGTGAAGGGAGACATCGGTCAGTGTAAGACATGACAAAAAAACAATTATTTTTTAAATTACCAAGGGTTCATGAGGGAGGGAGGAAGGGGAGGGAGGGCAAAAAATGAGAAGCTGATACCAAAGGTTCAAGTAGAAAGAAAATGTTTAGAAAATGATGGCAACAAATGTACAAATGTGCTTTACACAATGGATTGATGTATGGATTGTGATAAAAGTTGTATGAGCCCCCAATAAAATGATTTTTTTTTAAATAAAAAGATTCCTAGATTGGGAAGTGGCACACACATTTAAGGCCGTGCTCCTCGCCAAGTGGGAGGAGTGATAGACTGATAGATAGCTTCTCCTTTCTGGCTTGCGAATGGGTTATGATTCCTTTTGCTTCTCACTTCTGAAGAGTCATCTCATTAGTCCAAGTTTTCATCAGTGAACCTAGTCGAGCCAAGACATATATCTGGGCAGGTTCTAGCTAGCCAGGCCAAAGAAAACAGCACCATGGAGTAGGAGAAGTGGAGCTGAACTTGGCCTTCACTGGCGAGCAGAGCTCAGAAAGGAAGAGAAGTTTAGACCTCCCAAGCTTTACACTGGGGTTCTCAGTTCTGACTACTAGTTTAATGTTCCTTGTTTGTGAACAATAGACATTCATTCCAACATAAGCCAATGGGATTTATTGGAATGGTACAGGGTGTTCGTGGACTGGAAAGAACAGCTGACGAGCCAGTCTTCAGGAAGGGCTTGGGCCAGAGCAGCCTGGGGATCCTGGGAACGGGAACCTCTGTGGGGATGAATAAGCACCGCTTGCCTCTTTCTGCTCTGAAGTCAAAGTCAGGTCAAGAGGCCCAACCTAGTGGCTTGAATCCTTTAAGAACACACCTTGTGGGGTGAGGCGGTTCCCCCAAGCTACTCTGGGTGACTGTTAATCAAAGAAGGGGACAGCTGCTGGGTAGGCAGGAGAAGATGGGGGACATAGACCTCCTGTGGCTGCCAGAGTAAGTTTTGTGTACAGAAAGCCAAACCATGGGTGCAGACTTGATTGTGATTGGTAGTGACTGTCGGACAGAGTGGGACTGTCCCATGGGATTTCCAAGGCTGTAACCCTTAGGGAAGCAGGCTCTCTCATCTTCTTCCTGTGGAGCAGCTGGTGGATTTCAACTACTGAACTTTTGATAACAGCCCAACCTGAAGCCCACTACATCACAGTGGGTTTTATGGCCTTCATGCTGAGGGCCTAATTGGTTGCGATCTTTGTGTTGAAGGCTGACAGCACTGAGCATTCTTCACCAGTTTCGGTTGCCCTTTTCCTAGTCAGCCCTGTGTAGAAATCTTCCCCAAGGATTTACCGCAAGGGTGGGTAGGTTCAGAAGGCCATGGGAGCAAGTAGTTGAAGGTGATGTCTATTAAGCACAAGTGTGCTCTTCTGCGCCTCATGCTAGGAATTCATCCTCTCTAGGGAGTGGCCTTTTGGAAACACCTAGCAGAGAAGAGGGTTGAGGGTTTATGACCAGAGCTAGATGGGGCAGTTCTTTGAATCCCCTCCTTCAACTGATGAGAAAGCTGCTAATAGAGTCACTAATTGGCAAGTGACTAAGATTGTGTGTGCGCATGTGTGTTTTGATGTTTCTAGACCTTGCACACAATTGTTGCCTCCCATAATAACAACCCTAGGCTGTAGGGGCAGGTGCTGTGTCTTAATGGGCTGATTTCTCTCTCCGCCAGATGGTGTCCACCAACAGTGCCGTCCAGGGTGTGCCAGGCTGATCCATGGTCACTTTCCGGGATGGCTGCAAGGTGACTTCAGCTGAGGATGACCCTGACTGAAAAGTTGCGTGAGAAGATATCTCGGGCTTTCTACAACCATGGGCTGCTCTGCGCGTCCTACCCCATCCCCATCATCCTCTTCACGGGGCTGTGCATCGTAGCGTGCTGGTATGTTTGTGGGTTGTTTCCTCACCCCGACTGCTATGGAGCCCACAACCACGGCACTTCAGGCACATTGGGCCTGCTGAATGGGGGGGCTCTAGTCCTGGTGGTCAGCCAGTAAACTAAAAACAGCCAGGTGGATCCTGACTTAGTTCCCTGCCACATTTGGTGATATCACTGCTACTCTACTCCAAAATGATGTCTCGCTTCTCTGAGGAGCTGTGAGATCACAGAAAGATGTGTGTGATCTTTTCATTTCTGTTCTCACCCATAACAGCTTTCTTTTTTTTTTTTTTTCATAACAGCTTTCTTTTAAAAATATTTATCGAGATGTCTTTGCTTTAATTATTTTGGTTTTTATTTTATTGTGGTGGAACTATGCATAAGAAAATATATGCCATCTCAATGATTTCTACAGGTGCTGTTCAATAGCCTTGACTACCTTCTTCAAGTTGAGCAACCGGTCTAACTGCCCTCAACCTGCTTGTTCCACCACCAACATGACCTCACTGCCCTTCAGGCCACCCTCACTGCCATCGGGTCCGTGCAGACTAGTATCAACCCTATAGGATAGAGTGGTACTACCTCTGTGGATTTCCGAGGCTCTAAATCTTTATGGGAGTAGAAAGCTTCATCTTTCTTTCTTGGAACGATGGTAGGCTTGAACATCTGAACTTGTGATTAGCAGCCAGTGCGTAACGCACTGCCCCATAAGGGCTTGCACCTGCTTAATACCTGGTTAAGAGCAGGCGCCTTTTAGTGTCACAAGGCAAAGCCTATTGAACATAAGATTTGCTCTACTGCTCTCTAGGCAACCTTTGGTGTTCATGTGGAGCCTCTCGCTGACTTCTGTGGTTTCTCAGACGTGAGAGCTCTAACCATTGCTATCGAGTTATCTGACTGGTGACACCTCACAGGACAGAGCAGAACTACTGCCCAGGGTTGACGAGCCTGGAACTTTTGTGGGAGCAGACTGCCACATCTTTCTCTCATGGGGGTTCAACCCGCTGACCCTCAGCGACCACGCCCTTAATCGCGGTACCACGAGGGTCTTTGTGAGACAGCTCCAGCCGCCCTTCATTCTTGTCTTTGTCACAGGGCAGTTTAGAAGCCTGTAGACTGGCTGCCAGGAAAGAGACACGGTAAGAGGGAGGGGCTTGATTAAGATGGTGTCTGGTGGGCTCTGGCCTCTGAATGCTGGCGGCCATGGAAAGAACCATTTGTGATTCTTTTCTCTAGAAAGAATTTCAGTCTCCAGCTTCCTCTTCGAACACATGTAGATGTTTTCAGAAGTGTGCTGGGTGCTTGGGGCTGCTCAGTTTTTAATGCTTCTAAGTTCTCTCCTGATTAGGTGAGCATCATTCATTGAGAGTGGGTAGAAGCTTCAGGTATATGACTAAATGTCTCATCAGTCTGCACAACACCCTGGGGAAGTGGTCCGGTTATATTTCCATCTTACCAAAGTGGGGTGGCAGCTCAGACACTTGCCAGGTCTGTACAAGTCAAAAGTGGTGAAACATGGTTCTGGTGCCAGCTCCTGGACCTGTGGCACTTCCGGCTCTCTGACTCCCCTCACTGTGACTCACTGGATCTGTACTGGTGATAAGCCTTGCAAAATGATGTTGTGTAAGGAAGGACACTTGTAAGTACACCCCTGCCACCAGGACAAGTGTGGGCTATAGGGCCACTGGGTGACACTGTCAGAGGGGGTGACACTAAAGTGACTGTGCAGTAGATTCTGTAAGATTTCTGTGCAGTGTCTCAGCAGAAGTTGACTGTTTTTTTTATAAACATGACCCTGTAGTTAATCACAACCACAGAAACTGTTTTTGTCAGCCCAGCCTCCTTGGATTAATATACCTGTAAGCCAAGGCTATAGGTCTGCCCGTTTACTTTTTGAATCTTCTAACTCGCGCTGGTCAGCTGTCATCATTACATAGATAGGATGACGCTTCGAGACACTGGTTTCATCAGCCTGCTACACACATGCTGCTGTGGCCCTTGCTGCCAGTGTCTTCATAGTTGCTGATTTTAGAAAATTTCCTGGTGTTTTAGCTCCAATATGGTGGTGATTGGTATTTGTGAGCCTGTATCAATCACTTGTGTGAGAATGAAGGCACAGTAAAGGAAAAGGTGAAAAATAAACACTGCTCAGGTACTCACCTTGTAACTAATTATAATATTGTAACTGATATTGTAATTCATTTATATAATTTTATGAAAACAACTTTGTTGTTAGTATTCACGTAACCTTAGAAATACTACATTTAAACAAGTTAAAGCTTGAGCTCATGTAATTATGTGTTCAGAATGGATGATGAACGTGATTAAAGATTCTGGTATCGGGGTCACTCAGTGGAGGGTGGGGGTGGGGTGACACTGCCCCTTAGTTACACCACTAGCTGTAAGTGATGAGTTAGTAACAGGTGCTCTGAAAGCTCAGCTGTAGATTTTGCCCTCTAAGTTATTGTCCTGATGGTATAGTCAGCAGTTCGAAACCACCAGCTGCTTCTCAGGAGAAAGACTTTCTATTCCCCTACAGCATTAGCTCTACCGTGTCTCAGCGGGTCACTGTGAGTTGGCGTTGACTTGATGGCAGTGAGGTGAGGTGATTTCAAAATCGCGCTTCTAGAACTGCCTAGCTGCCGAGGCTCCTCCTCACTGCCATCGAGGCGACTGTGGCTCCTGGTCACCCAACTTCCTAGGGTTCCTGTGACTGTAGATCTTTATGAGGGGACGAGTAACAGAAATGTGGGTATCGTACAATGGACAGTGTAAGATACAAAATAATAACAATCGGTAATAGATCAAGGATTCATGAGGGCAGGGGGGTGGGGATAAAGGAGGAGCTTATACCAAGGGCTCAAGTAGAAAATGTTCTGGAAACGATGATGGCAACATGTACAAATATGCTTAATATAATTGATGTAAGGAATGTTATCAGAGCTGTAAGAGCCTCCAATAAAATAATTAAAAGTATATAAATCAACAACATAGTAGCTGTTAAATTAATACTAAAATTGGTATCTAAATGAATAAAATTCCATATAGTCTATCTTTATGAGAGTAGACTGCCTCATCTTTCTCCCAAGGAGCAGCTGGTGGGTTCGAATCACTGACCTTGTGATGAGCAGTTCAGTGCTCCTTGTGTACTAAGGCAGTATTTCTTAAACTTTAACTCAAATCGGAATCACCAGGAGGAGGGCATGCAAAATGCAGATTGCTGGGCCCTGCCCTAGGGTTTCCGATCCTGGGCAGGGATAATTGAGCATGTGAGTGGGCTCTTGGCTATATACAGTTGGATCTTGTTCTCGAAAGAAAAAAATTGCTGTCCTGCAGTGTTTCAAAACAGACTGTCCGCGAAAACTTAAGTGGCGGCTAAAGTCCCAGGGGTGGGAGGCATTCCAAGAACTCAGCTGGCGTCCAGAATTTGCATGTCCTGGAGACTGACCACACACTGAAAACCACCGGCCCATGTTTTCCTTGAAAACTACTGAAGCTCTTTCCACCCTCCTCTCAGCTGAAGAAACGATTCTGCGTTCAGGTGGCGGTGGTGCTCACTTTGGGTGCGATCACTTGTTGAGGGCTAAATGCATCTTCATACTGGCTTTGCCACATGGAAAGACAGTAAGCAAGGATGAGAAGTCTTCAAAAAGTTCCTGGGAGGACTTCATGACCCTTTAATTCCATTGTCCCATAGACATTTTGATTAGGTCCCCTTGTGTGGGATGAATTGACACATTGATTAAACCTGTCTTCGGTGTGGGAAGGCTTCCGTTGGCAAGAGAGCGTGGTTGTGAGTTTGCATTCATAAAGACAGTTCTTGGCTCGAGAGGGGAAGGATTGTCTTTGTCCTTTGGACCAGGCAGTGACCTAGGCAGGGGTCACAGGGCTTATGTACTGCGTTCTTGGGTGCAGTTAGGTCTTAATTTTGAAGGAGAAATTTGCCATCACACAGTGTTTCAAAATAGACTGTCCTTGTGTGTGTTTATGACGCAGGGGCCTCTGGTATGAAAACTCAGTGCGGTGGCTAAAGCCTCAGGGTGGGAGCATTCCATCCACGCATGGGGGGCATAGAATAAGATGAAAGGTTGGGGAAGAGGTAGACGTGGTAACGATCATTGAATAAGCAGGACAGCCAGGTGCCGCCAAGCAAGACAGAACCTGCTGAACAGCCCGGTGCACTCACCAGTCCTGAGAAAAGTCCACTGCTTTCTAGTCGATTCTGGCCTAAAACGGCGTGGTCAGGCCAGAGTGGGACTGCCCCATAGGGTTCCCAAGGCTGTTGGGAGACTGCTGCATCTTTCTCCCACAGAGCAGCTCATGTTGGCAGCTGTTTGGCCTGGAGTCACCAGGGCCCCTGGCGGGAAGGAAGGGATCTGCAGCTGGGCCGTTCCTCAGGCGCTTTCACACAAGGCTCATTGGGTTTCCTCACATCCTTGGGGAAGGCTGCTATTCCCTTGTCCTCTTAGAGATGATGAAATCAGTGTGGAGAGCTAGTAAAATAGTAAGTGCTGGAAATGACAGGTCCGTGTGACAAACAATTGATGCTTTCTCCTCTTCACCTCGGGTGATAGCAAGTTCTTAGAAGAATGCACTTGGTGCTGACTTACAAGGTGTTTACTCTTGGATAACAGGCGTGAGGGAGAAGGGTCATAGCTGTGGGGGAGCAGGCAGCTGAACAAGCTCGGCCTAGACAGAACAAGAGAGGCTCTTTGAGCCAGGTGGGTCTCTGCAGTAGCAACTGCGGAAGAGCAAGCACAGATGTGGGTCTTCATGAAGGGGGCTCTAACATGAGCCGGTCACTATGTCAGAAGGGTGACACAGCTTTATGATGCTTATTGTGAGGTTGGTTTGGCGACGGAGAGAAAGAAAGCAAAGGTAAAAAACAGTTTCAAGGGTTTATTTCAGAGCTCCGGGAGGGAAGGGAGAGCAGAGAAAGGGACGGGAGCATCCTGAGCTCCCGGATGAGGTTCATGGGCCCCCAGTTGGGGCCCAGCAAAGTC